GTCATAGATCTTGGAATCTCCAGGATACTTGAGATGAATCAAGTGGTCTATCAAGTACATAACTTCGGTGTTGTCGCTGGAGCGCAAGTTTTCAAACATGATAGCTGTGACCTCTCTACCAGACGTCATCTTGTCGTGCTTCGCCCTATGTCTTTGGAGCTTCTCGACCTCGATCCTCACAGTGCGAGCTGTGTCTCCTGCGGTCTTGAGCATGCTAGTAAGAGCTATGCACATCTTGATGTCGATGGCACGATACTCCTTCTTGACCTTGTTGAGATCATCTAACTTCGGGTTCGGGCTCCAAGCAGGAGTTAGCCATTTGATCCGCTTATGATGGTCTGAATCTCCGGAAGCTGTCACGAGAGACATGATCATCGGCGACTTTCAAAGATCCAATTGATGAAGTCTGGGGTACACGGGCACTGAAACCTTTTCAGGTTCCTTTCTTGTGACTTTGTCCTTCTTCTTCTTTTTCTTTTCTTCTTCCTTTTATCACTTTCCTCAGAGGATGACGATGAGCTATCACTAGAACTAGATGACGAAGAGGTAGAACTAGAAGATGACGATGATGAGGAGGGATCACCACTGGGACCTGTCTTTCCCGCACCATTTCCTATGTCATCATTCGCCTTCCCATCTGGTCGTGATCCAGATGGCCCAGAACCACCGATATCTTCAGCTCCGGATGATCTGGCACCGTTATCAGCTGGAAAACCATGACTGAACGATGTCATCTGCGTTAGCCCTACGTTACCTTGATACTGAGTATTAGTGATAGTGTCAAACAATGGAGCGCATTCATGGATGAATTGGTGTGAAACACAGAACCCCCGCTCAGTAGATCTCGTCCGTTATCACACCCCACTGTGACTTCCGGGCTGTAACTGATGCAGCGGGTTTCAATATCTCTTTAGCTTTGGCTTTCATTTCTTCATCCTTCTGTACCAAAGCCCCATTCAGCTGTTCCACAAAAGACTCTTGATCTGCTAACTGTACGCGCAAAGACTCATTCTTTTGTTCTAACTCCGCACATGTTTTCTGCCAAGCATCAACAGCGTCACGTGATTTCTTCTTTTCTCCATCGTCAGGGGAATTGATAAGCTGCAGAATACGTTCATCTTTACGTAGCAGTTCCCTGCGCAATGCACCAGCCTCTTTGGTCTCCTCCATGAACTTGAGGTAACTCGTGTTACGCTCACCAGCAAGCTGATCAATTTCCTGTCGCATCGCTGTATCAGCATTCTGTTTGGCTTGACACATGAAAGCGTACTCTTCATTCACTTTCTGCTCAGCATGTGAAATTCGTGCAGCTTGCTCAATGACACGATGTTCCATACCAGCCGAGGAATATCTTATGCTGTTCACTTTCTGATTCCAATTCCGACTCTCGAAAACCGGCAACTGTTCTGTGCAACTCATCCATCACTTGATGCATGCTATGTTCACGATGAGCATCAAGACGGGCATTGTCGCTCAACCTTTCAACCAGTTCAGAGCGGATGGCTTCAGAATTAGCAAAGGCTCCGTTTAGATGCACCACGGCTGTCTCTTCTTGCTTGTACCTGTCTCGCAAGCCATGGAGTTCGACATCCGCATTCGAAACCTGTTGCTCAAGCATCTTGCTCTTACATTCTAACTCTGCAATCAATGTGTCCTTGTGCGAGATATCGTTCTGATACTTCATGTTCATGTGTTGAGCTTGCAACTCTGACATTGCTCTCCAACGATCCAACTGTGCAATCCTCCCTGCCGAGCCTCTGCATTCTTGTTCTTCGTGCTGCAGGTGCGTTCTCAGCAAGGCCTGGTTTTGGAGTTCTATGTAAGCCTTCCTCTCAGCTCTAAGCAGTGACATAGCCTGTTCGAGATTCAAACCACCAGAATCATCCATGGTAGCATGTAACCATGCCAGCATTTCCCATACTTGCAGCAGCTGACATGTCAAGATCATCGGTTTCATCTACATTCGTAGATAATCCCTTCCTCCTGATCAATTTTGAGTTACTTCTTTCTGGGTCTTGCATGGCAGCTTCGGGACTCGACTTCGACTTTCTAATTACCGAAGCCTTGCGTCTCGGAGAAGGCGTTGCATGCCTCGATGAGGTAGACACCTCCCTGACAGCACCACTCACAACGGGAGACCGGGGACGCCTGGTCGAGCCAGGGGAATGCCGATCCCTCGGGGTGGGAGTCCCATGCCCCTCAGGTTCATTCTTTATGCTTGTACCACGGGCAGGTGCGGCTTGCGCATCTTCAGCAGTATCGCTCATAGAATAACCAAAGGTGGCAGTCTGGTTCGTACTTGTAGATCCCGAACTAGCTTCCACTGAAAGCATACGGTCGATTACCAGCCACTACGGCTGATAACCTGTAAAAGGGCGACTGCACGAACAGATAATAAAAATCCAGCACAGCGCCAACCCCCAAAGTTGATCGCTCTCAATCTTTTCACAATTGCGGTCTCACGAGCTCAACTCCAACCTGTATGCTTGCCAGTGTAACCTCAATACATTGCGTATGGGGATCGCTACCCTTAGCTATCGAGGTAAGGCTTGAGCCACATACACATGTTACAAGCAATCAGGGATTACTACATGTACATGCTCACCAGTGGGTTAGGCATAATCATAGGAATTCACATTATTTGCTCCAGTTTGGCCCTCCGCACCGGGAAACCCAAGCAACGGCAGCAATAATAAGCAGTCTTCAGTGCACTAAGGGGATGTCCCCTTCACCTGGGTTGAGGTTTACCGTTGGCAGCAGTCTCCCCCTGCAGTAAAATGAAAACGGAAAGTTAACACATGTTTAACATATGTTTCTAGAATGTTGCTGTGTCACTTCATGTTGTGAACTGCAACTGCAAGGCGAAGAGGGGTGCCTTAACAAATCTATTCTCTCGAGCTTCCCTCTGCCAGAATGTCCGTTCATTGGCAAGGCATTGTGACTGCTTAGAGCCTGCTGCACATTAGAGCTTGTCTCACTAAACATCACTTCTCCTGACAAGCCCTCCACTTTGACGACCAATGAACGTTGCAAAGCCCTTTTGTGAGATCTTGAGGTCTGCTCACACGTCTATGGGGGCATCCGTGCTGAAGCAGAGAGTCGGATCATGATGCCATCGGTGCTTGCACGGCAACTCTGCTACAGATGCCAATGCTGCCAGTCGGCAAATTTTCCCAAACCACGCAGAGGCGAAATCGCGAGCAACAAAAAGAGCAGCCCCTGTTGTTGCGGGTGCTGACAAGCAATGACGCTTTTCAAAGTCTTACAAGGGCCAGAGTCGTGAGAAGATTTCTGTCGTATCCGCTATGCGGCTATGCTCTTGATCTGTGTCAAGAAACGGGTTCACAGAACCCCGTGTGCACCCGCTGATGCTGTTTAGGCCCGAGGTCTTGAGGTTGAATTTTTGTAAGGCTTGATGCGGTTTAAGCCTAAGCATGAGTTTCCAATTGCCCGACCGCAGCATGTCTTTTGAAAAAGGTCAGATATCTGGTGTTTCCAAGAATGGCGGGCGCCTTACATACCCCAAAGAATGTAATCCCTGCAAAGCCGCTCTTGAACAAACAAATTGAAGGTGGCTGAACCAGGAAACAAGATCGGCAGTCAACTACAATAGCAAGGTGACCCCCCATCACGGTCACAACACAAAAGCCCTAGTCCTTTGAATAAAAATCGGCAAGCGCCGCTTGGAGGCATGGATTGGTGATAAACGTGGTCAACGATGGTCGCAGGATGGGATGTCACAATGCAAGGCGCCTCACCTCATCTCGTTTTTTGTCGTTTCACCTGGTTGCAAGGGTCGCGCTGACGTCACAATTCGTTCAAGCTGCATGGACCTTGACTTCAGGAGAATCGGAGCAATGCAGCCTAAGCAATCCCCCGATAAGATTTTGGACGCCAAACACGAAAGGCACTTCAAGATACCCACACGTCGTTCCGTATTTCCTGGCAGCAGAGCTTTAGCCCAGGACCTGCAATGCAACCACCTACATCATTTCTTAAAGTCAGCTTTCGTGCGCATTCGCTTTCTCTGGCCCTGTGTTTGAAGTCAGCCTCAATCACAGTCAGGGCGTAGGCTGTGCAAGGGCCGATCGTTGCACAGTTTTCCACCCTGGCAGCACAGGCATTTCCAGTTTGAACAGGCCGTAGAAGCAATCGCATGGCTTTCCCAAGTCCATGCCCATCAAGACTCAAGGACGCTTTCATGCCTTTGGGTACTCATGTGGCTCTAAATTCCCAGTCGAGGCTTGACGTGGTTGCGTGCTTTTTAAGGCATGGCGCGTAAAACGTGTTGACATCTCAGGCTCGTGCTATCTACCTGAGGCCCCCGGTTGCAAAAGCATAGCTTCGCACTTTTTCGAGTGGCATGAACTGCTCTTTGCGAGAAGGGTCTGGCGTAGGAAATAATCTCCGGCCTGACGCCTGTTGAAATTCTGCCTCTTTTTGCAAGACCTGCCAGGCTAGCCGGGAGTACGCCTCCAAGGACGAAGCTTCTTTCAGCCTCCTACCGGTTCTAAATGTTCTAAGCTACACAGCATTTATAGCCATTTGAATTACTGCCTAGGCACCGGGCAAGGTCTCCTCCTCAAGCATAGTCAGCTTGGCCAGCAGCGCTCCGTCCACGACCTCTGCCTCCATGCCGACGCACACTTCCGTGACTTCGCACGCTGCTGGAGCCCTCACAACAACCTCCATCTTCATGGCAACCACGGTGAAAAGGATGTCATCCTTCTTCAGCTCAGCACCCTCTTTGACTACTGAACGGATCACTCCGGGCAGAGGGCACGAGACGTGAGTCTTGTTAGAGGGGTCAGCCATGGGACCCGCATACGAAGCGTTCTTGGGAGGATCCTTGATTGAAACCTGGTATGTGGTGCCGTCTACCAGCCACTCGCAAGTCCTCATGTCATGCTCAAGAGGGCCCACGCGCGTAAGCTGGATGCTTGCTTTGGACCTGGGCAAAGAAGCATCATTCTTGGCTTCGGCATCCATGACGTTGGCCCCAGGCACGTCAAAGTCAATGGTCTCGTTGACGTTGAGGCCGTAGAAGAATGCCGCGGTTGGCAAATAAGTTGCCAAGGGTCCTGCCTTGGCGAGGTGCTTCTTGTAGTCTCGGAATACTCCTGGATACATCAGGAAAGCATTCAAGTCCTCACTTGTAGGTTCCATGACAAATTCCTCCTTCATCTGTGCCTTCACCTTCTCAAAGTCTTCTGGTGCCAGCGTGTCGCCTGGTCTGCCCTCCATGGGCTTCAGCTGACCTTTGAGAATTGCGGCTGTCATTCGCTGGGGGAATCCAAAGTGAGGTACGCCCATCTCACCTGAGCCATTTTTTGGAGTATTCCTTCTAGATCTCAGAAATCTGAAGCTCTAGCCGTGCTAACCCCCCCGTCCCAAACTGGACACTGAAACCGGCCTTATTATGTTGATATAGACTCTGCGTGTCGTTTCCTGATGGGAAGTAACCCTTGCTGTGAAGCTTCGGGTTCGTTATCCATAAGTCACGGAAAGGAACCTGAAAAGATGGGTAAGATGATCTAACTCTACTTCTATACAGAATGTAGAAATGCATCAGGTACCTCGAGCCAGCTCGATGGCGCTTTGTGGCCAGTGAAGAGACTGCATCTTTGGTATGTTGTCGAAGTCCTCGGTCCCCAGTGACAATTGGACGGTTCTGTTTCCAATGGGTCCTCTTTCTTCTCAACAGTCGTATACAGGCTCCAGGACTTTCTGCTCGTCTTGGAAGCTGGAGATGGTTGCTATTGAGCCGTGCAGCATACACTGCCATAGACCCAAAACCCCAGTCCTAAACATTCCTAAGGTCCAACCCTGAGTGCTAGACCCAACCCCAGTCTGAGGGTCGGAAGGCTCAATGCCCTGCTTCACCAGGAACAGCGCGATGTCGCCAACAGCCTTTGAAGAAGGCGTGACCTTTTGGATAGCTTGGGATTTTGGGTTTGTGTTTGGAGAACCCCGCAAAACAGCAGCTCCGACTGCATAGTACCTTCAGTAAGCCTTGCATAAACACAAATGTTGCAGTACTGTGTGGATGCTGTACCCAAGCGCCTTCACAATGTCACCGCACCACATGTTGACGTCAGCATACATCTGCAGAACCTTGTCCCAGTTTTCGCCACCGAGAGAGTGGCACTGAGCGTACATGTTTGAGTATTGACCGCCAGGCACCTGAAGAGGAGTACAGGAGCTCCATTGCTTGGAACATCTTTGATAGAGAATCTGCAACATATGACTAGATACAAACACAAAGTTCATGTCCTGATGGAGAGAGTCTCTCGGGCTTAGGAGCAGCTCCCCACTGCACTGCACAAACACCTTTCGTCAAACAGCCTGGTGCTGGAACACACGAGCCGTCATCGCCTTCATGCCGCTCTCGAAAGGGCTGTACATGTCGCGAACCGAGGCCCAATAAGCATCCAGGCCCTCAAGCTGCTTCCAATTGATCTTAGGATCCCGGGGCCTTCCTTCCATGGTTGCGATGAAGGCATTCAGCGATGGCTGCGATGTGCCATCTGCGAATGCTGCAAAACAGCCATCCACAATGTCACAGCCGGCATCTGCCATGGCGTGCAAGGTGGCAAGCTGAGCGGAGGAGGTGTTGTGCGTGTGGAAATGGATGGGTAGATCACACACTGATCGGATGATCTCAATCATTGGACGTGCATGAGCTGGCTTCAGCAACCCCGCCATGTCCTTGATGGCAATCATGTGAGCTCCTGCATCCACGCACTTCTTGCAAAGCTCCTTATAGTAGTCCAGGGTATAGATCTTCTCATCAGGGTTCAAGAAGTCACCTGTGAAGCACATAGCGATCTCGGCCACCTGCGCGGCGAGAACCAAATCGGACATGATCTAGTTCACAGATACATAGCACCGCTTCAAACATATTCCTTGCCTTCTTCATCTTGCGCACAGCGTTGATGGAGACCTTCATCTGCTCAACGTCGTTAAAGCAATCGAAGATCCGGAAGATATCCATCCCCGAAGTTGCGGCCTGGCGCACAAACTCCTCCACGACGTTGTCCTTCGACTTAAGCCGGCAACAATCAATCATGACTTAGCGCGTGCAATGATGTAATGGTAATGTGGTTGAACGTCTGTTTTTGGAATGGATGTGGCTTCGTGCGCGCAAACTTCAATCAAACACGTTGAAGCACAGCACCGCTAACATCCATCCTCCTACGGTAGGTACGCATGTACTTGAGAGAGGGAAGTTCACGCATAGTGCGGTCAGCCCTGCTGGGTTCTACCCTTGCATGCTACATCACAAAAGCAAGCTGATGTGTTCCGGTTTAAAAAGCAATGCCGTTGCCTTTACCAAAATTACGACCTGTTATCCACCCCAAAGCCCCACCAGCACACCTCACCTTTTAAGACATCGCGCATGGTTCGCGCAATGACAAGCGGAAGCAATAACGACAACAACTGTAATAAACAGCAGTAACCTACTCGTGATGATAACCGTGCCCAGGCAATGCCACTGAAAATGCCATCAACAGTCACACTGAACAACACTGATTTCCCAAAACGGCCCAGTGACAGGGTAGGACTTGTAGCCGACTCCATTGGCACCACGCAGCAACATCTGTGTGCAAATGTTGGGGACAGCGGCCCTCAACTCTTCGAGGCGCTGAAAAGCATCCTCGAGAGCAAGAAGATTCTGTTCCCGTTTGAAAAGACAAGCATGTACAGAAACCTATGCAGAAGGTACTAAGACATATAAACACATATACATGTATATGTATATACCTATTAATATAGATTTACAGAACGTGACGCCGTGGAGGGCTGGTTTTGTGGAGTTCACGAAATAGTAGTTTTTAGCATTTTCTCGGAAAGCTATTGAAAGACATGCATTCGTATTGCTATTAATATATAACTGACGAGCAACAACTCCAATCATATAGCATATATAGAAAAAACAAGATTTCCGAAGTTGCGCTTGGTTCCGGTGTAGAGAAACGGATTTGCGAAACG